CTCGTCGCCATTCGCAAGGAGACAAAAGTTACGCTTTGCGCGGTGACTATCCTTGCCCTCTATAGGGGGACTCAGAGAGAAAGTCGCCGTGCATAAGGAGACATTTTGTACATCTAGATAAACGAATTGAAAGTTGCGGTTTCATTTTACAGTGCGGCAGGCCAAGCTAGGCGAGGGGGAAATCACAAGGGTTCGTAGCGTATACAGACTATTTCGTGGTATTTCTCCTGCCATTTCGGTTATTTCTCCTGCCATTTCGGTTATTTCTCCTGCCATTTCGGCCATTTCTCGCTTATTTTGGATTATTTCAGGCTATTTCGCGCTATTTCGGAGTACTTCAGGGGTATTTCGCGACTATTTCACCGACTATTTCGCGTCTATTTCGTCTTTATTTCGCCTGTATTTCGGACTATTTCGGGGAAAGGTGTACGAACTATTTGCCGGTGGAGCGAAGCGGAGCTGGCAACTTGGTTTGGCGGAAGAGCGGACTTAGCTTGTTTCTGTAAGCTTAGTGATTACCCCCTTTTCAGACCCCTACATTATCCGGTGACAACTAGTAAGCGAGAGTCAACTCTTTGTATGTAGTGGTAGTGTCGACTCGCGGCTCATCTGAGTAATTTCATGTAAAAAGTATTAGTGACCTTTTCTCATCTCAGTGATGGTGTCATACATCATAGCCTCGACGTCTTGTTACCGACAGTAGCTCCTTGTGTAGCTTTTTATTTTTCTAGCTGTACCACAATTAACATTCCAGCAAGTAAAAAATAACGTTAAGCAGCCAAACCGGCCTTCAATGCCAAGTTGACAAGCTGCATTAGAATAGCATGTGCTTCATGGTCAATCGTAGCAATGTGGATCTCACGGGGAAGTAATGAGTCTGCTGCTACGCCAGTTAAGAACTTGTCCAGCACGCTCTTGGCTGTGACCTGGGCCCAGGCTGTGAGTACCGGCTTCCTTGCCTGCAACAAAATTTGATAATGCATTTGTATTCCCAACTAAAAGCTAATGCTTTAGGATCACTGTCCGAACTGCTAATTATACTATTTTGGTTTCATAAAAATATGAATGCGCGTGTTTTTAGGCCGCCCTTCTGATTTTAAAACAAGCAGGCCCGCCCTTCCGCCAAACGGAGTTGCCAGCTCCACTTCGCTG